TAATGGTTAGTTTTAGGACCAAGGTGTGAATTGATTTTAGGTCAAGGTTAAAGTTAGGTTTAGGTTTATTGTCAGGTTTAGGGAATAGAAAGGGTTGCAAATGACTGAAAGTCAATAGGTCATCACTACCTGTAGCAAGACAAGAAAGGATGTGTGTGTGCGTGTTCAGTCATCGAACAGCAGTATGGGCTGTGCTGAGCTGTACCAGGAACAGAAATATCCCAGCATCTCCTTCGTTTTCGAACATTACAAAACAGCTTTACCTCACAGCATATTCTTTTTATAGCTCCACTAATATTTGGCTAAATGTCTCTTAGCAAACGAAAGGTTAGATCACACATTTCTGGCATCACTCTGGCTCAATATCTGACAACTAATTTCTGCTCTAAGTATTATCTGCTCTAGGACTGTCTTTGTTAGAAGTCATATCCAACATCCAACTGGCATCTTATCTGACGTTTAATACTATTTAATGTGGTTAAACTGCGTGTGTCATTGTGCATCAGAACATGATAAGGAACAAATATGTGCACAATATTCTAGTTTTTTAAAATAATTATAGCATTTGTTTTATTCTACTCCCATGTTATGATCTTTAGAAAAATAAATAAATAAAAATGACGGTAGTAAGATATTTTCAGCAAGCTATATCAGGCTTGCTAGTAACTTTCATCATTTTAATAAGCATATAAAATATACCTTAGGGACCAGGGTGAAAAATCATAACCTTTTAGCTCATATTATTGCACATTGTACTGCACTTGTACATTAAAATTGATTTTCATCAGTTGTCTTATTTAATGACCTATTTATTCTGAACATATTTTATATAGCATATTTGTGAGCAACAATTTTGTTATTAGGTTGGATGGAATGGGGCAAAAAATTATTTCAGTAGGTTGTGGGGTCTCCAAAAAGAGTATGTTTCGTAAACTTTTTAAAATGTTAAACACTAATAAGTTCTTATATTTTGTGCATCAAAGACCAGCATTGTTTAGTGCGAAAGATTTACACAGCTGAGACCTGAAAGCCTGATAACATATGTTAGATCAGGATAAGAGGGAACACCAACAGAATGGAGAAGTCAAACATTTGACAGTGAGATTAAAGGTTTAAATCTTTGGTTTTTAAAGGGAAATGGAAACATGGCTGTTTTAAATCACCACCTTCTGAGAACAAAAGCACAAGGTCAAGAATTTCTAAATAAAATGTTCCAATTTGTCTCATGTATTAGGCTTATGAAAGAGACATTTCTTTCCATTGCTACAATAAGGGCCCGGGCCTATATGTTCCCAGTGTCTGCTCCAAGCAGAACATTAAGATCCAGTGTGTAATGGGACTACTGAAAGTGGACAAATCCACAGTTACACTGACCAGATATCAGGCTTCAAAGGGCCTCGTCGGCACGAGGATGAAGTAGAGATTAAATGCTAAACACACACACAAAGAGCAGAAAGAGGGATGAGAGATGTAGGTCTCGTCCGACAGCTGAGATATAGCACAAGAGCCCTGGGGAGTTTCAGGGGATTTCCACGGAGGGAATTGGACACATCGCCTGATTTACTCTAACACTTTGGCTAAACTTACGATTAACGTCCTCACAAAGAAAAAAAAAAACAAAAAAAAAAAAACAGCACTTTGTTTTTTTATTTGAAAATATATTTTTTTTTTTTTTTACAAAAGAACAATAATGCTAAAAGAAAATTCGAAAATGTATTTAATTAATTTAAAAGTGTTATGAACAGTTTAGAGAGGAAACAAAACACATTAAGTTTTAAGTGAGAATTGACCTGAAAAATGAAACTTGCTGATCAAGGACGGATGAGGAGCTAAAAAAAAAAAGGGCGGCTAGAGAGAGGCTGAGAAAAAAAACATTAATTTTTATCTTTTTTTTTTTTTTTTTCTTCACTGAGAACAGAGCCAAGGAATGCAATGAGGAATCTGGAGAGAGATAAGGACGCGAGGAAAGTGGATGGTACTGTACTGTACTGTACTGTGTGGGTTTGTGATTGTGCAACTGTTAGTGTGTGCAGGGGTCTGGTTTGTTTAATCTGGCTTTTTTGTAGAAAGAAACAAAAAACATTTTTGTTACAAATAAAAACGATTAATGTAAAATTAATATATATATCTTTTGTGAGATACAGTGGTGTGAAAAATAATTTCCCCTTGTCCTTGCCGCATTGCAATATTGTATATCATGAAAAACATAAATGAATACAAAAAGCAGCTTTCAATGTTGATAATATTTATTAAAAATGAAATTAAACTAGACTTTCTTTGTGAAAAACTCATTGCTCCCCTTGTTAAATGATAAGTTAACCCAATTTGCTGGAAAAAGTAGAGTTCAGTTTTACCCATAATGTGTTTACTACCACACATGTAAGAAATCCAGAAATAACTAAGAGGTAACATGTTGGACAACATGAAGAAGGCTAAAAGTTATTCTAACAGCAACATGTCCTGATCTAAACAGGCCAAACAAACTGGTGAGATTTTTTATTTTGATATCTATCACTTTGGAAAGAGTTAGAAATCAATTTCCAGGCATTCGGGAATCTTTGTTAGGATCAGTATTTAAAACAGTAGTGTTCTATATATATATATATATATATATATATATATATATATATATATATATATATATATATATATATATATATATATATATATATATATATATATATGTATATAAAAGACTCTGGGCCACAAAGTCACATATGGGGGAATTTCAAGTTCAAAAATATTGCTGAAAAGAGACAGAATAAACTGATCTATATCAGATTTTCCAACAAAACCGAGAAGAAAACAACATAATTATCCACAACTAAAGTAAAGGTTATTGTTGTTAAATCAGGTTAACCAAGAAAAAAAAAAATACTTTTTTTTTTTTTTTAACAGTGTCCTGTCTGGCAATGTCGCAATAAGAATAATTGTCTTGATGCCAAAAAGAGCCCAACAGATTTTACTTTCAAAAGTGAAGCAGTACGGCTATCACCATACTGTTCCGCTTGATTTATGCATAGAAAAAGCTTTATTATAATTATGCAGGGAGTTTTACAGATTATTTGGACACTGCAATGTAAGTAGAACAGGAAAGGAAAAACAGAAAAAAAAAGAAAAGATGAAAGAAAGAGGAGATAAAAGAAAAAAAAATAATATTAACATTCAAGCAATGTGGAGGTAGGCTAATGATGTGGAGCTTCAGGACCTTTGAGCAATTCCTGTAATCATTGCTCTCTTACACTAAAACCACCAGTTTGTGACCTTAAACTAAAGTGCATTAAGATTACCTTCTGAGTCTATCAGCAAGATCACCCCTGAATGGCTAAATGTACTTTGAAACAGCCTAGTTAAAGTCTGGGCTTAAATTGGCAGTTTATATTCATAAAAAATGTTTACATTTTGCAGAAATAAATAAAAATATTGCAATGAGGATTGGGCCAGATGAGCTCCTTTACAATTAGGTAAAATTATAATTTCCTTTTCTGGCACATTTCTGATGGCACTTGCTGCCACTTATTATGGCAGACCTGGTAATTAGGCTCTGGATCAATTACTCTATATGCAAGATTAGTTTTGTTTGGATAAAGTTTCCCTATATAATGTGAAATCCTTTCAAACTGTGTTTTTTTGCCGGTATATTGTAGATGAGTACAAATCTGTCACACTGCAGCGTTGGGGGAGACCTGGGGCAAGATTAGCTTAGATTTTAAAAATGATTGTTTGATATTGCTTCAAATTGTCCAAAAAAGAAAAAAAGAAAATATAAAACGGGGTCATTTATTTCCCATCCATTAAGGACTAAAAGCAACAAATAAAATAATAAAAGAAGCATAAAATCAGTCTTCAAAACATAATGATGTCATTGTTTTATTACCTCACACTCCTGGATACAAAACATTTTACTACTATTTGCTTTTTTTTGTGTAACTCAAAAACATCATTACACATCAGAGAAAGAACATATGAACATTTCCTGGATCCAGCTAAAGAAAAAAAAAATATGTCACTTAAGTTACATGATTTTCTCCATGGAAAGAGCTCAGTTACCATGGTGAAGAATAATTATTTACATCTCAACCATAACGACCTGGCCACAAAGCCAGTGTGACCCAGCAGACATATTTTAAAGCCTGAACACCCAGCCAGAGTTCTGCAATATTTACACACCACAGAGACAAGTCAGAAAAAATAATCACATTACTTCAAATCAAAAAGGTCGCCTTATAAATACCTTAGAGGAATCTTTTTTTGTATGTTTTATCTGCAAACTCCAGATAAGATTTAATCAGTCATAATTAAAGCTAGTTTCAGCTGAGCATTCTAAAAGTAAAGTTATTTTTTTTTACACCTCTTTTTCTTCAGTAATTCCAGTGAAAGTGGTTGTTGTCCGCAATGAGACAATAAATAAGCCGTCCCAGGCAGTGGAGGTTCTTGTATGAGTGTTGCCATGGCTGATACCCATAACAAGAACCCCCACTGTCCCCAAAGTAGTTTCACATCAGAAATATGTACAACGCCCAAAAAGGTGCTAAGTTGATGAGTAATTAACCTTTGACCTCATCTCCATTATGAAAGTTCCACTGAGTCAAACTTTATGAAGGTCTTATTCAGCAAATTCGCAAACAATTTTTTAAATGCATGATCTAATAAATTCTGCAAAGAACTTGGAAAGACACCCTCGTTTTACGGCTATGATGAAAATGCTGATTCTATCAATTCACAGACGTTTCTGCTCACTGTTTATGACGTCACAGTCAAACTAAGAGGACATGCCTGCTAAGTTTGGATTCGTATTAAAATCTAGAGTTAAATCTTAGTTAAATTTAGCTATTTAAACAGTTTAGGGTTAAAAATAGAAGATTAAAATTTTTATAAGGTGATTTTGAAATGGCCTCACCTTCGTCCTTTACCTTTATATTGCCTTTTTGTCCCAACCTGCATCCATTTTGTTCTTGTCAAAAAACCATCAGGAACTTTGTATTTAACTTTCTATTACAGTTTGTTTCATTTTATTTTTTAGTAAACATAAAATGCTCCAAACTGATCATTTATATCTTTTATCGTATTTTGTCTTCTTACACACTATTTCTGTTTAATGTTTTTTTTATCCCAGTTCAGGCTGGTCTTCAGATGCTTGATCAACCTCAGGTTGAAACAGTGAACCATCTCCTTTATCTGAGTATATTATCATATTACAGCAGATTATAAGCAGATTTTAGGTAATTACTTAAAATCAACAATTGATGAAGATGGTTTTCCATGAAGTGGGTATGATTTGATGCCTAAAGTTGATTGCATTGGACAAACAGGTTTTTATTTATTCTTATTATTAGTGTTTTAAGCTGACATATTAAGTCCTCACAGCTATTACCTGTGTACCTACAAAGATCTGCAGAAAAAGGAACCAGTTCGATAGAATCTATGTTATTGGTGCGGGAAACAGAGCTGGAGCCCAGCCAGCACCAGTTAAGCCCTTTAATTGGTTTAGAGGAAAGTTTCATAGTGTAATTGATCTTTTTACATGTTTTGTTACATTCTTTCAAATATTTCTTTCAAAACCTATAGGAATGTGAACCTCTAGGTTCCCTTAATAAAGGCCACAAATGGCTACAGAATAAGACTTAAAAAAGACCTTCAGAAAGCCTTGAGAATTATAAATCTGTACAATCGGAAAAAAATCCAAGTCATTTGGTGCATTGGAAGCAAAGACATTGTAGATGAATTAAGAATTGTTGCACAGTGCTGTAAGACCAATTTGAGAGACAGGGCCTTGAGAACCTTTTAAACCAAAGCATCAAACGACAAAATGACAACAATAAAGAAGAGTCAGGACTGTAACCAAGCAAAACTTTAACTCAGATTCTAAGGCTTTAAAATGTTTTTTTTTTCTTTCTAAAACCTAAAATTATAGGTCTGCAGTCTGACTGTAAGTACACCTCAGAAAATTGGACTTCCACATCAGGCTTAAAGGAATAGTACACCCAAAACATGATTAGCCTTCATTTTCTACTCACCTCCATGCTGAACAACACTCTGGAGTACTTTTTTGATATCTCAAATGCATCTGGAGATCTGGGAGGCTTCTTGCTGTCTGCTGACATTCAAATAATGGAGGTCCATGGCGCCCGAGACAGAAAGGTCCATAAAAGTCCACAAAAACGTGTCAATATTCCTCCATACTGCTCGTCCAATGTAATCCAAGTGTCCTGAGTGGGTAGCATCCAGAATTTACTCGAAACGAAGTAATTTAGAATGTTTTTAGAGCATAAACAGTAGTGTATAGGATTTCCTAATAGCGCCCCCATGCGCGCTCACGATTCTACGGAAGCCGGCAGACCAAACCGGAAGGAAGTGCGCATTCAGCGTCTGGTCTGCCGATAATGCAAGCGTAGAAGAAGAAATGTGCTGTTTACCTGTGCAAAGAAAGAAACAACGAAAGAAAAATGTCTGAGGACTTCAGTGTTGAGGAAGAGCATGAGTTCTTTGCCGAGCTGAATGCGCTGGTTTGGTCTGCCGGCTTCCGTAGAATCGTGAGCGCGCATGGGGGCGCTATTAGGAAATCCTATACACTACTGTTTAGGCTCTAAAACGTTCTAAATGACTTCGTTTCGAGTAAATTCTGGATGCTACCCACTCAGGACACTTGGATTACATTGGACGAGCAGTATGGAGGAATATTGACAAGTTTTTGTGGACTTTTGTGGACCTTTCTGTCTCGGGCGCCATAGACCTCCATTATTTGAATGTCAGCAGACAGCAAGAAGTCTCCCAGATCTCCAGATGCATTTGAGATATCAAAAAAGTACTCCAGAGTGTTGTTCAGCATGGAGGTGAGTAGAAAATGAAGGCTAATCATGTTTTGGGTGTACTATTCCTTTAAGCTGCCCGTTCGACAACACAAACTCAGATGGAAATCTGGAGCTTGGTGAGGTTCCTCTGGTGCATGTTGTGGTGCCGCACCAGCTCGTCGCTCCGGGCGAACTTCTTCTGACAGTTCGGCCACCGACAGTTAAACGGCTTCTCACCTGAGACAGGAGGACGGGGAAGGTGACAAAGCAAAGGTTGGCGTTATTGCATCAAGTTCCCTCAGAAATGTCTGTAACATTTATTTAGACATCAAATGGATGAAGGAGAAATGGAAAAATAAAAGTTTTACGCACTTGTTTTACCTGTATGAGTCCGTGTGTGTGTCTTAAGGTGGTCAGACCGAGAGAACTTTCTCTGACACGTCTCGCATTCGAATGGTCTAACTCCTAAACACATGTACAATAAGCATGCGCACACATTCAAACACACCAACAGGTCAGAAAAGGTTCACATCAGTTCAACAACACAAAAACACCCACACACCCACACACACACAGAGAGGGAGACAGAAAAATAAAAAGTAGAGCAAAGGCTTGCAGGGAAGCCATTCCAATGTTTGGCCAGCATTTAGCAACTTCATCTGATGTAATTTAAAACTGAACATCACTGCTTAAAAAAATGCTATCTGTTTAAAAGATGGGTGTCATGCAAAGAGCAAAAGTGAGCAACAGGAGAAGGAGCAAAGAACACAGCGGTGAACAGAGCAAGATAGAAAGCCTGAGTGAAGGTAAATGGTTCAAACCTGTGTGCCTCCTCTGGTGTCTTTTAAGCTGGTCAGACCGTGAAAAACTGCGGCCGCAGTCTGTGAAGTCACAGCGATAGGGTTTCTCCCCTGAAAAAGTGGTATTATAATTCAGCTCTAGATCCATTAAGTATCTATGATCAATAACAAACACGTTACACTAATGTCCAACTTGTTTCTCCACAAATACCATATGATCTCACAGTCGTTAAACTGTCTTAGTCAGAGTTTGCATCCTGGGAGCTGGGTTGGAATAAATACCAACAGGAACACATCATCCTCTACATTTGTTTACACCAATGGTATGAAAAAAAAAAAAAATTGCATACCTATTTTCAGTGAGGGGGAAACTGAATAAATGTGGCACACAGAAGGATATTTAATGAAATCAGTTTGTTCAAATATTATGGTATTATTTTAATAAAATAGACAAGTACAGCTATTTTCAATTGAAGGGTTTGACAGAAGTTTAGACTTCGATTCCACCCGCCTCATGTCGATGTGTCACTGAGAAATACATTTAACCTAAATAAACATGTGACTATGAGTCGTTAAGGTTGGTATGATACATTTGGACTTTTTAAAATTGGAAATGGAAGAACTATTTAGTGTTTACTTTTAGTGCTTACACCTGTTCAGCAAGTTGAACACATAAAATAATTCAATAAAACAGAACTTAAAGGAATAGTACACCCAAAACATGATTAGCCTTCATTTTCTACTCTCCCCCATGCTGAACAACACTCTGGAGTACTTTTTTGATATCTCAAATGCATCTGGAGATCTGGGAGGCTTCTTGCTGTATGCTGACATTCAAATAATGGAGGTCTATGGTGCCCGAGACAGAAAGGTCCATAAAAGTCCACAAAAAACGTGTCAATATTCCTCCATACTGCTCGTCCAATGTATTCCAAGTGTCCTGAGTGGGTAGCATCCAGAATTTACTCGAAACGAAGTCATTTAGAATGTTTTTAGAGCATAAACAGTAGTGTATAGGATTTCCTGAAAGCGCGCGCCGGCGCGTTCATGACGCTACGGAAGCCGGCAGAGCAAACCAGATGAAAGTGCGCATTCAGCGTCTGCTCTGCCGATAATGCAAGCGTAGAAGAAGAAATGTGCTGTTTACCTGTGCAAAGAAAGAAACAACGAAAGAAAAATGTCTGAGGACTTCAGTGTTGAGGAAGAGCATGAGTTCTTTGCCGAGCTGAATGCGCACTTTCATCTGGCTTGGTCTGCCGCGGTTTCCGTAGCGTCATGAACGCGCCAGCGCGCGCTTTCAGGAAATCCTATACACTACTGTTTATGCTCTAAAAACATTCTAAATGACTTCGTTTCGAGTAAATTCTGGATGCTACCCACTCAGGACACTTGGAATACATTGGACGAGCAGTATGGAGGAATATTGACACGTTTTTTGTGGACTTTTATGGACCTTTCTGTCTCGGGCACAATAGACCTCCATTATTTGAATGTCAGCAGACAGCAAGAAGCCTCCCAGATCTCCAGATGCATTTGAGATATCAAAAAAGTACTCCAGAGTGTTGTTCAGCATGGGGGTGAGTAGAAAATGAAGGATAATCATGTTTTGGGTGTATTATTCCTTTAAAAGAAGTAATTACCTGGATGTTTCTTTACTATGTATCAATGGGGACTTTTGCTGGGTAATTACCATCAGGTTACCACATAACAGGTTATATTATTGGCCACCACCTACCAATGGCTTACAAAGTAAATTGTAACTTATGATCAGGTAAATAAAGCATTATACAACTGAACTGAAGTTACATATAGATAATAGTTTAGTTAAGAAGATTGGCTTGCCGTCTTCTAGGTTTGGTTTTCTGTTATATAAGGGTTTGACATTAAGATGTCTGACTTTACCTTGTCTGAATAAAATTTAATGCATAGCACTTACCAAAATTCTCCATAAAGTTTTTAATTTTATCTACTAATATAGTGTAACTTGCTATGTTATTAACATGTATTAAATGGTTATAGATGTACTGTAAAAGAAAGGGTTACCGAAATTTCGTAGGTTTGTCATTTGAAAGAATAGCATTGTTTCCTGTTTTTTTCAATTTGTTTTCCTTATCTAAGAGAGAGGGTTATCTTCGAATAAGTTGCTTTATTTTGATAACTTTCATGAATGATAATAAAACGCTCCCATCATTATTTTACTAAATGCAGCATGTAGCTTTTCTGGTTTACTTTGAAATAGTTATGAGATAAGCAAAATAAAATAATCATCTTTATTAGAATTTGTAAAGTACAGCTAAATTTATTGTCAGTATTTAAACCATAGCTCAGTCAGCAGTGAGGAGCGTTCAGTTCCCAGAGAGCATTATGGGTAAAGGTTCTGGCTCAGGGAACCCGTGAGGAAGTCTGTTTGAAGAAGGCACTTCTTCTCCTGCTCTCTAACCAGTAGACCACAACTCCCCCCAAAACATTGTCCCCATTACGGGAGCTGAATGCAGGCCACCTTTTCACATAATTTCAAGACCATATGCTTAAATAGGACAGGTTAAAAAAATATTTTAAAAGTGCAAACTATGAGTTTACCATTTTAAGAAGATTTAAAATTCACTTTAAGGGCAATATTTTGTCTAACCACAGAGTTGTCAGTTTAAAAACCAGCTCTGTCCGTCTCAGTTATGTGTCCTTTACCAGCATTTCCTAATATAGGAGGTCAGAGGCTGTTCATGTTCAGCAGCCTAGTCTTTGCCAGTGAGCCCCAGTGCAGCTATGGCTACAATATAGCTTGCTGATTGTAATTTAAAGGTGCTATATAAGTGCAGGCCTTTTACCAAAATTTCTTACACAGTAATTACTAATTAAATATGAGCTGGGAATCGGGGGGACTACAAAAAATCATTCCCCACAGTTTGGACACTGCTGTTTTAGAGGGAAAGGTAAAGAGAAAGCAGTGAATGCTGCACAATATGACATATATTCACCACAACATTTCAGCTAATTTTACAAAAAAAAAACATTTCACAGGAATTTTTTTTTGTTTTATGAAATCACACAGCAAACCCAACTGCGGTATTGCCATTTCTGTCACCTGTGTGTTTGCGGCCATGCATCTGCAGGTGCGACAATTTGAAATAGCGCTTGTTGCATCCTGGGTAGGCACACATGAACGGACGCTTTTCGTTGGTCTCTGATCGGACTATGGCTGGAGCGATGCTGGGAACCCGCCGCACATCCTGCAACCACAACAACACGGCATAGTTTTGAAACAAACACAAAAGAAGCTCTGAAGCCATCAATAACCAAAGGAGTGAAAGTTAATTAAAAGAAGAGTCTATTAAATACAGCCTCCGTGTAAATTAAGAGCATATGATCTGTTTGGGGAAGCATTACAATGAAATAGTCATATATTCATGAGATGGGAATTAGCAGTAAAATGACCCCAGAATGACTGCATCCCAAAGGGAGCAGTTAGTCACGCCTTTTAGGCAGACCCCCTCTCAGAGTGCCCCGCTTCTCATTTCAGGCGTCGCTGGAAGAGAATAACACAATTTAACATCCTCTATTCTAACTAGTGCACACACAACATGACCCTCCTTTATCTCTCTATTCTCAAAGTGTCTTCTGTCTTTCAACACTTTCCGTTTCTCCACCTCTCCCTCCGAAACGCCTCTTTCTGCTTAAAGGCCATCTGCTTTTAATTTCCTCAGCAGTTAGCATAATGATCACCTAGAGAGAACCCTTGTCGCAGCTAGCACTGTTAGCACCTAAAACACTATGGGTCTGGATCTGATTATTTGAAATTGTTGTTAGTTATAAGTGTAGTGGTGTACATCTCATGTTTAACTAACTCAGCATCTGTTAGAGGTTAATCTGTGCTTTAGTTTTCTACATATGAAAATCTCCTGTGCCAGGACATCGGCTGTTCATGCATTCCCTTATGCACAAAACGGGCTAAAGCTGTACATGCTTTAGACCACTAAATAAACAGCTATTAATATGTACTGGTTTAAAGTCATTATAAGTCTATGATACGTGATTATTTTATTCATAATTATGGTGCTATGAAAAAAAAAAACCCACAGCATTTGTTCTACTTTATTTTTTGTCAGATGACAGATAAAATATTCTGAGATGGTTTTGAGAGATGAACTATTTGTTTAAACTCATGCCCCAGCAATTAAAATATAATTAAATACGGACTCTGACCCCACCACAAGAAAATGTTTAGATAGGATACAAGAGATATCGAAAAACACTTCTATTTTCCTGCAGTAGGAAATTCAGGTGTCCCAGTGGCAAAGTGAAACACAAGTGGAGGCACATGAAATAAATAAAAAAGAAATAAAAAGTTTGAAAATTAGAATAGGAAACTGTGCAGTATATGAAAAGTTACAACATAAAAGATGATACTGTACAATCATCTTTGAAGGCAATCTTAAAATATTTTGCAGGTAAGTAATGTGATACTCAAAATTATATAAAAAAATCAATCTGTTTATATTTATTTTCATGAAATACACCATCAGACTATTAACATGAATGAAGAACATTTCTCCCAACTGTGCAAGAGCTGATGAACTTCAGGGTTTTCTAATACAGAGCAGCTTCCAGACCATGACTGCAGCCCCAGTCTTTAAGCAGCACACTCTGCAACTTTTGGATACACTCCTGCATGAGTCAAGGGGTTGATTTATCTCCTTGCTTTGTCCTCAAACATTGTTAAGCATTCTGAAGTAACCATTTATAGCAGTCAATTGTGTCAGATCAGGGAGGCATTCAAGTTTCAGAACAGTACCACTCGAGGACTGGAGTTGCAGAACCTGGCCCCAGACCATCACAATCCTACCACCATGATGGATTGGATTCAGCAGGATTGGAATAAAATAGTAATTTGACTAAGACAGGTGACTGATGTAGACTGACCATCCGTTTAGCATGCATGTAAATGTTTGGCAGGTAAACAAACCTGAGAGTCCATCAGCACCCTGCATCAACATGAAACACTTCTGCCTTGAGTGGCTAATCACTCTGGCTGACTGTTATTAGAACGTTCCAATCAGAATGTTAAGGTGACACGTATGAATCTGATAGTGAAATCTGTTGCATGTAAATTTTGTGATGTTTTTCTCTCATCTGTTTTTTCATTTCTCATTAATTTTGCATTTTTTTATTATTATTATTATTTTTTTATCTTACTTCTGATAATACTTCTGATAAGTTTTATAAGTAATTTTGTCTTCCCACAGGTCTGGCTGGGGTGCAGCTAAAGACATTTAAGCAAAAATTTCCAGTTTATAATTTTTAATCTTTTTTTTTTTTTTTTTTTTAAAGCCCAACATTTTCACATTGGTTTAGACTTAAACAATCACTCTGTTTTTTGGAAATTAAAAAGCAAAAAACATGAGAAATTATGTAATTTAGCAAAACAATCAGCTTTTACTTTGTGATTCTTTCTCAAAAGATTCACCAAGGAAAATAAACAAAGAAAATAACTGAGGCTTGAAGTATGTTTTCATTGGCAGTGACTGTGAATTTGGTTAATCTCTGTCATAAAACTTAATCCCTAACGTTACTTTGCTTTAACTCAATCTTAAACCTCACCTTTTAGTAGCTTCTAAATTATCCCTTAAGGGGTGTAAGAGTGAGCTTTTGTTTATGCATTTTGTCCTGAGGAAGACCTTCAAGAGCGAAGATGGAACAGGATGACAGATGAAACAGGCGATTTCTGTTGCAGAGTAAAAGCAGGCCTGGAGAATCTCCTGCTCCCTGTCCTTTGGAGCTGCTGACAGATGGTAATTAAAATCTAATGATTTATTAACATGTGAATCCTCATATGGAATCTGTATCATTACACAGTTTTAACTCTATGCATGTGTTTCTCTGCTGCTAATGGATTTATGTTAGAAAAGAATCCTCTTGGTCTTAAAAGCTCTGTGCATTGATATACATGTTTGTGAGCATGCCCTGCTCTGTATCAATGTTTCCTCCTTACACAAGCTGCTCATTGCATTAGCCTCCTCATCTCCACAAATTAGAAAGCGATATATTCTTACTGTCCCAGTGGTGTTTTTTTTATTTTTCCGTCTGCCCGTTTCTAAGTTCTTGGAGAACATGTGTGACACTAAACATGAACAGAGAACAAGATGCAGGGTAACTGCACGCAGCCAGAGCTCACCACATGATGACCTGTTGACGATAAATAAAGTTGTGCAGCAGCAGTGTGAGTCCCACCTGAATGCCTCTGAAGACTCCATGTGTGTGTATGCGGTACTGTGTGCTGCAGCTGTACACCATGGGGGTGTTGGGGTCGCTGTCGTAGCCTGGTGCATGGCTGAAACAGACAAAGACAAACTACCATCAGTTCATATGAAAGACAATTAAATACTTTTGAACATCCTTATGCAGCATTAGCCGAATGTCAGCAAGTAAACAATGCAACTAAGGTTTTGGTTTCTGCTCCGATAACACCTTTGCAATAAGAAAGGCTCCTTATAAAGGCATGTCTGTGGACAACTGTAAAATTTATTGGATGTAAAGCAGATCTCAAGATCAAGAAGGTAATTTAGTGCAAATTTAACCCACGCTGGCGGACTGGTAGAGCATGAAGCTCTGTCTCACTGAGTGCATTCATTGTGTGTAGGTACGATAAGGTCAGGGAGGGAACATTATTCAAAAACATGTCACTTACAGCCTTTAATGCAAATAGCAGACCAGAGTTCAATCTTGATGTAACTTGTTTTTAATGCATTGGGGTAATATTTCACTGTTATTTTGTTAGGACTCCAGTAACTGACCCAAGTCGTGTAGTTGTTTCTGGGGTTTCTCTCTTTGTAATGTTGTTTTTAGGAAAATATTTAAGCTTTTTACTGCATCAAAATCCAAAAATCATGATTTTTTTTTATTATACAAACCAGAAGAACTTGGACACTTTAGCAGCCAGTCTATTGGATCCAACTCGCAGGAATCGGATCAAACCTGCTGTTGCCTTTAGAACTGCTTTAGTTCCTCATTGCAATAAATGAATGAGTTGTCAGAAACACTCCTCAGAGATTTTTTTCCATATTGCCACAATAGTTTCATGTAGTTGCTGCAGATTTCTCTGCTGCACAACAACGATGTGAATCACTCACCAAATCCCAAAGATTCTAAACTGGATTAAGATCAGATGACTCTGTGGAACCATTGCAGTTCAAGAAACCATTCATGAGCCTCATAACATTGTGCTATTATACTTGAAGTAATCATTGGACAGTAGATGGTGATTAAGAGTTGAGATGATCAGCATCAATTCTCAGGTAGGCTGCGTAAACTAAAGCCTGCAAGGATTGGTGCTTTGCAGGTTCTAGATATCCCTTGGTCTAACACAGCTGATTCAAGACCCATATAACCTCCACAGCACCAAGGAGACCTGGTAATCAACAATACATTTTATTCAGGAGTTCTAAAGTTAACATGGGCATGGCCATGGCTCCATGGGGCCCTAAGCCAAATTGTTATTTTGAGGCCATCGATTTCTGCCAATATTATTGATTGCTGCAAAAATCAGTGTGAAAGCCAAAGTAACTTTATTAGTCTCCCTAAGATGAAAGTCTCATTGGACACAAAACACACACACCTAGTTCAACCTAAACCAGGCTTGTTTTTCAGTCACCTACTTGTATGCATCATTTATTGTTCCTAAAACTAATAAAATAAACTATAATGTAGATTATTTATTGTAGACATATCCATACATCCATATATATTCTTCCGCTTATTCCATCAGGGTCACGGTAGGGCCAGAGCCTCACAAAGAGACAAAAAAACCATGCCCAATAACATTCACACCTGAGGAGAATTTCGAGCGGGCAAATAACCTAGCAGTCATGTTTTTGGACTGTGGGAGGAAGCCAGAGTACCTGAAGAGAACCCACACATGCATGGAGAAAACATGCAAACTCCAGGCAGAAAGACCCTGGGTCGGGAAATGAACCCGGAACCGCCTTGCTGCAAGAAAACATTATGGTATGAAATATTTGATTCCAGCAGGAGCAGGATTGTACAAAAAAAGCCTATAATGCAAGAACAACAACAAAAAACAAGTAACATTGCTTCATAATATATATATATATATATATATATATATATATATATATATATATATATATATATATATATATATATATATATCCAAACATTTTTTATTTTTATTTTATATATAAGTGAAGCCTCCTACATGGTGATGTTAAAAAAAAGCATAATTTTATTATATTATTGTGTGTTTCGGTACCTCATTCTTATACTTGCAAAATAAAAAAATTGCTAAAAATTGTTCTTGGAGGACCCCTAGTTTTCCTGGAGGCCTAAGCAGTAACAGTTTGCTTATGTGTTGTTGGCCCTGATGTAAAGCTGGGGTCCAACTCCAGGCCTTAAGAACTAAAATACAGCAATTCTTAGATTTATCCCTTCTCAAATACAAAATATTTTAATCTATTGCTTTCAACCAGTCATTTGTAGTGCAAATAAATACACTGAGGAGGGGATTTAATCAGTAAATGAAAATACAACCGCTCGCCTTTACTTGACTAACCTTTACTTGAAATATAATAATTTAATATCTGTGCTTTTATGCACCTACAGTAAGGCTGGAAGAAAAGATACAGGAAATGGAACTTGCAACCTGTAGTAGTTAGGTCATCCACCAGAGGGCATAAGACAAGAATTTAGAAGCAAATTATTAACAAAAACACAAATAGGTTTTTCCCCATTAATATTGGCAATATAATCTAAAATCATACTTTAAATGAAATGGAATATATTAGGAAATAAAAAGCAATACTCCTTACAAGGGTAAAAAGCAAAAACAAACAAAAGGGAAATAAGTTTTAGTTATTGCCTTTAGTTAAAGCTTTCCTCATGTAGTGTATCTCATGTTTTTCTGTAGATTCTTTAATGAATCAACCATCTTTTAATCAGTCATACAAAAAGTAACAGTTTTCACTGTGAGAGCGCTGAACAAAGAGCGCTGTGTTTGACACAGCTGCCTGAGTCGCCTCCTGTATCTTCTTATGATAACACAGACAAACAGAAAGCTCCTGTCTATGAAATGTGTTATATTTCAGAGTGTCCAACTGAAGATGGAGGATGGGAGGATTGTGCTGATGCAGTGGGAATGGACGCCATACAACTGGACTCTCATAAGGTATTCTTTGTCTACCTCCATTTTTCCCAGAGAGGAGGATGGACAAAGTTGAGATTAAATTGCATGATCCTTGTCTCATGTATGACTAAATATGGCAGTATCTCATTTTAGACATGATCAGGTCATTCAGTAATTTTAGGATCATTCAAATAAATTAAATAGAATTTAAAGCATTCAAATAGCAGATTCTAAGAAACGTCTCATGTATACAACTCACAGAAATAAGAAGTATCCTACATTCAGAAGAAAATAAAGTTATGTAAAAATAAAAATAATTTAAATTAATGTGAACCTTGATTTTCTGCCCACCAGCTTATAATCAGAGTGTTAATTTCTGATTAAACTGCCCAATGCTATAAGAAATATAGATGGATGTGGACCCATTTCTACTTTGCTACCTTGTAGAGTATGACATTAAGAAAGAAAACGGTGCTCTGTACTAAACAGATGTAATTAAATGAGATTTACAAAACTCTTGATCTAAATAAACTGTTAACTGTATGGACCTGTTTGTTTTCCACACTTTCTGTTTTGCAAAATTCTACCTTACATGCATCTTATGGTATTTACTGAGTAGATGGTTCAGTATTTGCCTTACAATCCTTTCTGTTTGAATTTTAAAAAAATCCCATTCTAAGATTACTAGCTGCTATTCACAGGAGGGGCTGTACTGTATCTTTACTTCTATGTGCTTATATGACATCTTTGAATTTGTATAGCGTATTGGATGTTAAGACCAAGACACTTCCATTGGTGCAATCAGTTGAAACTGTATCTGCAGGATTAAAAATTTTTTTTTGAGGACTTTTACTTATTAGACAGTTTTCAGTCAGAATCATGTTCAACACAGTTCTGTGCCCACCAAGCAAATATTTGGCTGAAAAGACATTAAAATAGGACATGATTTACATCCAAATGACATCTAGATTTGGTTGAAAAGAGAAAGGTGAAAGGCTGTAATTTTCAGATTGCTGAAAACTGGGTTTGCAACATCTTTCCAACGTCTATTATTGGACTAAAGTGGGTCAAAATCAGACGGACCAAACAAAGCCCAATTTTCAACAATGACCTGATTTAGCCTAAAAACCAATGTCTAAATGATGTTGGGTGTTTGGGAGTGGAGTCCAGTTCCAATCTTCTTGACAAACATTTAAATCAGCTTTAAAATTAACAATCTACACATCATAAAAAAAGGAATACCTGAAGTACATTGGCGTTGATGCACCTTGCCTTATTCTCCTAAAAGCTCATAAATGCTCCTAGTGCATCCATCATTGTTTGTGCTGGACTGGGTGTAGCGGAGTCTAGTTATCCAAATCTGACTTGACTGAGTGAATTAATCCAGGCAATACTGAGATATATAAATGAAAGAATTAGCTCACTACTAAATAACTACTGAAACACTGCTGCCCTATAAAAGGAAACCAAAAGTGGATCATCATTGATTTTTTTGGCAGGACATAGAGAAATCAACTCATAAATACTTTCAAAAAATGTGCTTCTTTCCAGAGTAATGCAATCTTTAAACCAAAACCCTGTGGAAAATTAGAGGGGTGAGCTGAAGAGAAGAAAGGACAGAAGAGGAGCCAGGACTCTGGAGCGTCTGGGGAGATGTGCAAAGATTTGTCAAATATCCCTCTCTCTGCATGGACCAAACTTGTAAAATTCATAAATTCTGTCTTAAAGAAAAAGCACAAACGATTTGTACTGTAGATGAGCAACAATTTCACAAACATGATTTAAAATATTCAGTATCAAGCTTGACATTAGGCATGTGAACAAAAGTTGGGTGTGGTTCACCAAATATGAGGTATTTAAATCCTGGAATGCTCCTCCTCTGCTACCCAAACTCCCCTATGCTTCCTCTTCCTCATGTCTTTCCCTTCGTCCTGCCTCTCCTTATCTTTGGAGACCGTCTCCTCCTCTTGTTGCCCTCCATCCTCTTCCTCCTCATCCTCCCTCAAGCCTCCCTATCCCGTCGGCTGCTGCCCGTCACTGCTTACAGATATGGCTGGATCTGCAGTAGAAATCTGTGGCATCACCAATAAAAATCTCTGAAGACTGCTTTTTTTTATGGAATTTCTTTTTCAGTTAAAATGCAGCCCACAAACAAACAGTTTAATTGGTGAGAGCATGCCTGTTGGCTCGGATTAGAAAAGCATTTGTGAGGCAGTGGTGACTTTGACCAGCTCTGCAGGTCACGCTGACATACAGCTCAAAGTGAAAACTATAAGGTTTGTCTAAACATTGGATGCTGATACGTGAGGGATTTCAAATGCGTTTCCTGAGCTGATTTTCCTCAGGCAAAAAAAAAAGAGAACATAACTTTGATCTAAGTTAAAAATATCACAAAATATTTCCAGTGAGAGAATGACAGCCAGACATCGTCTATTCTTGAACGTCTCTGATAAACTTAAAGGAAATAAATCAGAGCAAGGGATTGCATTTCAAAAAACAACTAGTAACTAAAAATACAGGCTATTGTTTGATTGTTAGAAATAAAAGCCTTGGTAGAAAGTTTTATCTAAAGACATAAACAGGCATTAAAATAATGAAATATAAGGAAGAATAAAATTAATCTTTACAACAATCTAAAAATGTTAGCAATCATTCTAAACAAATTCTGCAATCAACAAACACTGAAGAACAGGTAATACAGCTGCACAACAGATAAGCGTAACTGCCAGCAAATAATCAACTGACACATCTGCGTGACTGCATATCGATTGCAACCTCCAAACTACCGCAAAAAAAGAAAAGTAAAATGTATGGAACTTGTTGCCCACACCACTATTTAGCGGTACATTTTTTGAAACCTGTCAGTAGGGCTTCATGCCCAGAAAACAGGGGAGAGAAGAAGGACATTGTTGGAAAACAAGGCTAATGTGGTCTTTATGCTAAATAATTATACTTTTGGAAGTTGGTAAGGTGTGAAAAGCAATGATGCAAAAAAAGGGAAACAATTGAATCACCAAATAAAGCACCGAAATAATGTGTTGTTTGATAGGAGTAGAGTTCTTAGTGCATCATGGCCGCTCCATTCCTCAGCACAGGGCTGATTAACCTTGTCTTAAAAAAAAAAGCCACAGGTCAATTTCCTACCTCTTAAGGGTGGATGCCAGTGTATTGACAGGGTTCCATGCCACACACTCCAACTGAGAGGTCATTTGATATAAATTGTCTCCGCTGTGGAGGAAAGACAAAACGTAGAAGAGAAGCTCATGAGCTGCTATTTATCACGCTGATTGCCATTGATCTCGCTCTTGGAAAACCCATAAAAAAGACCAGAAATTCTATATTTTTGCTTATTTATATTTGGACATAACCCACTGCATAATCATCACTCATGCTGGCCACATACATGTGTAAACACACTTTCTATCTCTTAATTTATTGCCCTTAGTCCCTCTTTATAAAGTACCAGCAGGTTCAGAGTGGGCTGAGCACAGGCAAAGTGGTGCCTGGTACCTAGCTCATTACAAAGCTATTATTTTACAGTGAAGAAGGCAGGCAGGCAGCCAGGAGAGGCTGAAGGTGCTTCTGCTAAAATATTGCAGGGAACCGACTCAGAGCAGTAATGATTAATGTAATGATTCAGATAATAATGGGTCAAATTATATTCTCAGTTATTTACTGATATAAGCTCATCTTTTAAACAGCCGACAAGCATTTTTTTTTACAGCTCTTTGTTCAATTTTCTATGCTGTGCGTACAGTTTGTCTCTGATTTTTACTCCGTGAGAAAAGAGAAAAGAAAACAAAGGAACTTTCCTAAATGTAAATAAATATAAATGTAAATCCCTTTATTCCCCTTTGCATTTAACTCATCCCCTTGGGAGCAGTGGGCTGCCATTGTGTGGCACCTGGCTAGCAGTCTGGGAGAAAAATGTTAAAGAAAGTTCAAAAAATGCAACAAAGTTATAAAAAGTAAAATGTAAAATTATGTCAACAAAAGTTAAAGAGTGAAAACTGAATCAAAACGTCCATCATTTGGTATCAAGATCTGTCAGTACTTAAGCCATACAGTGTGAGTATTTAAACAACAATGTTGCAGCGACTGTTAGGAAATAAGTAGATCATATCTAAAGCAACATTCCTTATCATAGCTTCATTAATTATCACAGAGGTGCCAATATATAGTGAACTACAAACCTTATGTAACACGATAAACAGACCATTTGAATGTCTGACCTTTTCCAGCCACTATTGTAAAGTTTAAGCAATGAAACAAATCAAATAGCAAGTAAAAGCAATCAGAACTTTTAAAAGGCTTAATTAGAAAATACAGTCAATAATTCCAAAGCAATAATCTAATGCTCAATAACGGATATTTTCCCATTTTTCATCAATATGACTTGTAAGAACGGAACGTAGGCTCTAACTCAGGTTTGAATCTAGGGAGTTTCTTAAGCAAAGCTCCAAAAATGTCAATGTTCTTATCAATGAGCACCTTTATTTGCACATTTGTCCAGTGATGCCATGGTCAATCATGCCGGAAATCCAGGTTGTGCCTGTATTCATGGAAGAAGTTGCTTTTTGAGTAGGTTTGAATTCCACTTTGTAATTACAGTTGGGTCTTGTGCAGGTTTCAGAGGATCTAGATGCTTCCTTGTTTTTACCAAAAAGGATTCATGTTTGACCTAATCTTCCTTCTCTAGGAAAATTCTATTTCAGATTTTACAAACAATCTGAAGGAGGGCTCATCTGAGCAACATTTCCCACCAAATGACTTTATGAAGTCACTGCTTTCTTTTATTTCGAAACAGTGGCTTCTATCTGCACATCTTTTCTGCAGCTTTGCCTTCAGCCACATGCTGCCATTTCAAGAAGCCATAGCTAATACAAGAAGATAAAAGGTTCTCTTTTTTTGTATCTTTTTTATGCATATTGTTTAGCTAATCAAAGTAATAAAATATCAGCTTTTTAATTGACTATAATGAGGAGAATCTTTTAACAAAGAAAAATCTTCCCTTAGTGAAGAGGAGGCTTCTGCTCATTTGGCTCAATAACTTGAAAAGATTGCAAGTTGTAAACACAGAAACCACAAAACTGACAAAACACCACATGATGTCTCTGCAAAACGTGAGTTTTTGGGCAACGCACTTCTTTTTTATGAATTGATAGAACATCCTGCTCAGTTTAAAGCTTCTCATTCTGTTCTTTACTTTGATAAAAGCCAGAAAGCCTCTCTTTTTCTCTCTCTCTGCTCGGATTAATAAGCCCTCGGCATGTTTTCACTTCATGTTGTTCCAAGCTGATGGCCCGGAGAGTAAATACAGGCCTGATGGTACCAGGCTGCAAGATTAGACGACTGACTTCACTCACATGAGACTTTCCAGCCATGTGTGTATATGTGCCTGTTGTGTAGATATCAGTTATGTTTATGAAAAAAGACAAACTTCAGACTAAGAGTCAGGATGGTCTTTCTCCGTTAAAACACACTCTGAAGCCTTAGAATCCATCCCAAAAGCAGATTCTTTATTTTTCCATTTACAGAAAACACAGAATCGGTGGCATGTAAAGAATTTCTCATCTTGAGACAAAGCAACAAACAGTTTGGGGAGCAAATGATAAGGAGGTGTGCCTCCTAAAAATGTACTGCACTATTAACTTCTTAGGTTTATTACTGAGATCCAATTTTTATGACATTTTTGGCTTGGAGAGGGTAGAAGTTTCCTGAAATACATTTTTGTATTTGTCTTAGATCTAAATCTGAGGTTGTTGACCCAAAGTTATGACAGTGAAAGAATGAGCACAGACAGACAGTAGAGATGCACATTTTACAGAAAGTTTTGTGTCTGTAACTGAAAGAATGTCAAGTTTTAATCAACCTTATGCACGGGAAAAACTGTCAAGGAAAAGAAAATTATCCTGAAGGAAAAAACATCTCTAATAAGGAATTTTTTTTTTTTTTTAGCTTTTTTCCCCACCTAATTTTTTATTGTTTTTCTAATACAAAATAATATGTATTGTCACTTTGTCACTTTTTGGCTGTTTTTTACTTCTGTGTAGCTTAGATTAAAATGAACAAACTAAACAATCTAACACCATATCTTTTGTATCATACATTAATTTGTATCCATATTTTAAACTACCTTTAAGAATTTGTGATTGAAAGATATGTTCCGTGACCATATTGAGCGATTGTCTATAATCCCTAAAGATGGTTTTGTGACTAAAAAATAAGATCTACCTGAATGAGGTCATTCAGAGTTGTTCTGGTTTGATCATCTGTTAAATTCCCAACTGGTTTAGACAAAGATTAGAACCATTGTCAACAAGAATTAAGGGAAATATTCAGTCTTTAGATACAGATAGTTCAAGTCAATATGCAATTTTATTTAAAGGAGAAGTTCGGTTTTTTACACTTTAAGCCCATTTTCTGTAGTGTCCAGGATGAAATCGAATGATCGACACCAAAGGTTTGACAATTGCTCCTGTCTCTGCTTTTTGGCTCATTTAGAATCACCCCCTGGCTGCTTTAGAATGGCTTGCATAGAGCATGTCCGATAATGTCCTTAAAACAACCTTAAACGTTCTTTTTTTAAAATATGCTACTCACCGGGTCGTCAGCGCTGTTCAATGACGTTCCAAAAAAAGTTTCGTAAAGAAAAAACGTTCCTGTAGTGTTTTATTTAGCATTTTGTAAATCCCATTGAGTTCTGTAGGAATAGTCAATATTCTCCTGCCACCGGAAACGGAAATGGGGCCTGTTTACACAGTTGTAGTCTTTTCGCTTCACTCTGTGTACTCCGACGTCGAGGTGCTAACGTCTCTGTTAAACACTTTAAAAAACTCTGAAAATGGAATACGAAAGGTGGATTCTTGATTCTCGACGTCGGAGTACGCAGAGTGAAGCGAAAAGACTACAACTGTGTAAACAGGCCCCATTTCCGTTTCCGGTGGCAGCGGAATATTGACTATTCCTACAGAACTCAATGGGATTTACAAAATGCTAAATAAAACACTACAGGAACGGTTTTTCTTTACGAAACTTTTTTTGGAACGTCATTGAACAGCGCTGACGACCCGGTGAGTAGCATATTTAAAAAAAAAGAACGTTTAAGGTTGTTTTAAGGACATTATCGGACATGGTCTATGCAAGCCATTCTAAAGCAGCCAGGGGGGGATTCTAAATGAGCCAAAAAGCAGAGACAGGAGCAATTGTCAAACTTTTGGTGTCGATCATTCGATTTCATCCTGGACACTACAGAAAATGGGCTTAAAGTGTAAAAAACCGAACTTCTCCTTTAACAGAAAAACTATTTGTCTTTATAAAATAAAAAAAAAATTAAAATACAACACTACCAGGAGGAATAGGAATAATACATTATGGCTTACTTCATGGGTTTCTGATGGTTTGTCTATGGGGGAGAAATAGAGGACATGGATGAAATGGAAACACGCAGGTAAGATGAGGCGGTATGAATTACTGAAGGGATTTCAGGTGCTGCACAGTATGTTTCATTATATTTCTTTGAATATTTTTTTTTTTTTAAGAAATTACAAATTTTCTTTATAAAAATATGAAATAAAAGAAGGTCAGACTTAGAAGAGTCCTACATTTCTATGCTAGAAATTGGTTTTAAGTGTTGAAGTAAAATCCTGTTAAAACTATCGAATTTGAGCATCAGAACTTCTGTTTTTGTAAAAAATCAAGTTACTCACATTTTTTAAAGAAAAGACCAAATATTTAAAAAGCAAAACAACAATCAGGGCATAAGTCAAAGTTGATGCATAGCTTAACAGTAGAAAACTGTTTAAATAGGTGCAGTTACTCTCAGCAATCTTAAATGAGATTAACATTTTTTTAAACATAGATTTAAGCCTTTTGTAAAATGTTTTTTTTTTTTTTTTTTAATCACCTGATGTCAGTCTAGACATTTCTTGTCAATTATGGTATTGCAGTTTTTGTATCAACTTAAATGTATACATTTTATAACCCCAAAAGGTATTCCAATAAGTTATTAAACAACTAGAAGGACATTTACGTCATAGAGAATGTTCAAAGTTGTTAAGATACAAATGGACAATAATCCCAGACACCAACAATTAAAATGAAATCAATTAAATCCCAATTTTGAAGTATTTCTGTACTGTAGATGGCAGTTTGTTTTCTACTTTTCATGTATAGTAGACACTTAAGAGTTTTAACCCTGTAAATGCTTAGCTTAGAATGAAATATATATTTTTTATTCTAAAGATTAAGCGCTAAATGAACAGAAAAAAGGAACCATGCACAAAAATAAAAAAAGGAAGCCGCAGTGGCAGACAAACCTATCCAGAAGGTGAACATCCTGTTTTAAACTTCATCCTGCTAACTGCCACTGAATCACTGATGTTGCAGAAACACAATCAACAATGGATTCAGAACATTTCCGGCTTTAGTTGAAGCTGTAGCTTACTCTAAAAATATGATTTAGAGGGTGTTTGCAGTGTAGTAGGGATGCAGAGGGCAAATGTTTGTGTGTTACCTGTTGTAGGGGTTCCTCAACAGCAGAGCCTGGCTGCTTGTGCAGCTGTCAGAAGGTGTGTGACATCCATAAACGGGAGGAGGTACGGGATACTGCTGGTCACCTGGGATATTTAGAAAGTTGGAATGTATATTACATGCATATATCTCAACTTAAACTATTAAAATGTACAATTATTTCCTGGAATTCCCTGATTTTTTAAACATAATGAAGCAGTTGTTCTCACAGTCGGTGCTAGCACTGTGGTACCCGAAGCAATACTGTATGTGCATATTTTCACTTGCCAATGTCTCCAAATGTCCGCCCTTTTCACTATATAGGGCACTATATGGTGATTATGCCATTTGAAATGAGTTTCAGAACACTTAGTGGATGAAAAAGTAGTGGACTCAAAATTTCCCACAATGCCCCTTGAAAAGAAGTGACCACCCATGGTCACTAGATGAGCAGACAAATCCTGGAATGCTTTGCTCTCCCCATAAAGCATTAAGGGATTTGGTGTCACAGCGGCCCACTGTCAGGTAGCGACAGTAGCAACTAATAACAAAGATGGCGCAGGCACCACACGGTGGAGGCGGAGTAACGTGATCAACAGGGAGCGAAAAGTAGTTATCATCTGTCCGAATGGTATGTTAACTGAGTTCACTATAAAGTCCACTATATAGTCCCTGCTCTACATCTTTGTTTCCAATAATCCACCGTTCAGCCCAGAGTCAAATTATAGGAAAAAAAAGCAAATAAGTGCACTCTTTACTTGTCTGATAGTTTTCTGTGCATCCCAAAGGCAGCAGCAGTGTGCACTTGCCAGATATGATCCCTATATAGAGAAGACATATGCAAAGAAGAAATGTTTCATGCATCTTCTCTGTATAGGTGATGTTAATTTCCACCTACAACAGCACATACAGTAAGGCAGTTTCACAATAGAAATTATTATGTTTTGCCATAACGTTTGATCCAGCTACTGATTTTAATACATATGTTTTTACTCTCCTATAGGTTGTAAGCAGGACTGAAACAATTAAGTGGAATAAATATTAATCAATTAATAAAATGATAATTGATTAATCATTAACTGGAGTCTAAAATATGCCTTTGGCTGACAGAGCAACCCACTTAGAGCAGTAATTATACCAAAATTGTAAAAATATGCAAACGTTTTGCATTTAGGGTAAAACTACATTTTCATCTGTCAACAGGCTCTATGAAGGATCTCCTAAAGAGGAAAAATTGTTGATTAGCCTGGTTTAATTAATAAAAAATGTTCTTTATGGGTCCTTTTGCTATGTGTTAAAGTTTCAAGAGATTATTCAATTTGCCAAATAATTGTTATTTGCAGCACTTATTGTAAGCGCTTTTGTCATTATTTTGAACAATAGGTTTGCAATCTAAGCCTCGCCTCTAAACAGAGATTATTTCTCCTCTGTATTATTTGGTTTGATAGGGCACATATTATCAGTCTGGTAACCCAGAGAAAATGTGAATCCTTTATAGCTCTGGTCCTCACCGCTTTTCCTTTGTGTTTTCATTATTTTGTTTTAAACAGAGGCAGACTATCTGTATAAGTAGCCATTTGGTCACTTCAGCCACGTAGCTTTTATGGTGACGACATATCAAACAAAGTGCAGCCATACAAAGACCATCTACATGTCAATTTGGGCTGCTGTATTTTTCGCACAAAACAGACTGAATTAAAACACAAAATGTAGCATTTTAAAAACCTCCAAGACTGTCATTTAGAGTGACTACTTCATATTTTCTACACATTTTACAATAAAACAAAAATCTAATTTTCTTAGTTTAATGTTTTACCACTTTTGATTTGTTTGTCAATGACAACTTGTCCCTATATTACTCATCGAGTGCCAAAAATTAAAATATCTGCATTCCTATAAGACACCTATCTTAGTAGAGGTATCTTTTGAAAGTAACCTTTAAGAAGGTGTTGAATCAGAATCAACTTTATTGGCAAAGAATGTGTGAAAGCATCAGTCTGAATTGAACTAAACTATATAATGTATTTTATTTAGTGAACTGATTCATTGAAATAAGTTAACTTTTCAATATTATCTATTAGTATGTCTCTTTTTATTGGTATGGACTGAGATGGTGTTTTACACACTGTAAAACAACATTCTTTTTTGTCTATAAAACCAACTTTTAAAACAGGGACAATAATTTAATTCAGTTTAGAAAGTCAAGGTAACTCTAATCTTTAGCATACTTGAGGTAACTGTCAGTACGTATATCTTTACTGTAGGTACTAAGTTATTTCCACAGGTGAAAGTCCTGTTAACTTTTGTGCTTTTGTTGCAAAATGTTGGAAACTTTTAGAGTGGACTTTTCAGTTAAAGGATCAGTGCTCCTTTACTTTTTTACCATATAAATTGCTAATAAAGAGATGCTGCCATAAGAAATAATATTGTATGTCTTGTACAACGACAATAAAGCTTCTTATTAATTTCTTATTCAGGTATGAATTTGCTTATAACTAAGTTAAACTAACTTGTTAGAGAGCTTTGCATTTGCTGTTGGTGGTTTGATTCTCAGACTTTTACTGTTTCTGAAAATAAAAAAAATGAAGAAGACAAATGAGGATGAATTGCTGGATTCTCTGGTCCAGCCTAAATATGTCAACCTTTTTTCCGCTGCAATAAGCTCTAAATAAAAAGTAGAATTCTGAGTAAAAAGTTTAAAATTTGTAGTTTATTCATTATGTTTCCAACTCATCACTACTTTCATATAAAGTGGAATAAAAAAGAATTTGTAATTTGGTTACTTAAAAGCCAAAGTCCTAAAGGTTCTCGCCATAACAGAAGCAATAAACCAACATTTTCCATCAGGTAGGCTGTTGAGCACTAGCCTGGGTGCCAGTCCGAACTTAGTCCCGTCCACAAGGTTTGAGGTCGGGGAAGTTCGGTCTGGCTCTGCTCCATAGTAGCGCGAGTATTAAAGCCCACTGTCAGGCGATCCAATCAAATTGTCAGGGCGGGCTTTATACGATGATGGACAGATGATCAAGAGTAACGTTATCAACCACGTGACCAAAGCGCGCTTGGGTGACAACAACAATGGCTGCCGCTGGAGAGTTTGGGTGAGTAGATTCTGCTATTAGGTCTGTTCTAGAAGATATCGACAGCAAATTAATTTTAAAAGAGGAACAGAGAAACGCGATCAAGGCTCACCTTCTTATTCTAGGCGTGAAACTGTACGCTTTGATTTTTGTGGACAACAACTATGCCTGGCTTAAGATACGTCACGCACTCCGTTGCTCTTATTGGTTGTAGGTCTATCCAATTGAGTACAGAAGCATTTTTTTCCTGGTTCGTTCAAAACACGCCCCATAATCACAGCTCTATGGAGCAGTATCAGACTCATATTCTGACTAGAATTGAGTCGGACTACGTCAGGCTAGTTGAGCACTGCCTGTAGACCGAAACAAGATGTGTGACAAGTGATGCCTCTCTCTACCCTACTTAAGCTTCTGCTCCACCCATCTTATCCCCTCCAGCTTAAAAGTATGGCTTGGGAAATTCTGATTTAAGTTAGAAATGTTGAACTTGCTAAGTCACATTACAGTGAAAAATTGGGACTGAATATTCTGTAACATTCTGTAATATTCATCTAACAATAAACTTGCTGTAAGTGGCTAGCAAGTTAGCATGTACGCAAAGGTGTTCTGATGCAGATTTGAACAAATCTTTTGAAAACTTTGTCACGGTTAATCCTGAGAGCAGAATTAATGATTTAGAAGTTTTAAATAATAAAGAAACATTATTAAGAACACAATAATGTGAAGACCTGAATAGTTTTTTTCTATTGCAGAGTAATAATAAATGCTACCACTATGCCAAATCTAAAACCTCAAATATGAATTTTTATTGTCTTGTGTTAAAAATGGAGGGTGGATAAAAGCTGTGAACCCAAATAAAAAATCACACTGTTTTATTGATCTTTCAGGAGCTGATTGCTCTATAAATAATAACTAAATATGGCATGATTTGATCTTTAAGTTTGTTTTGCTGAAGTTTAAAGCTACAGTGTGTAATTTTCAGCGACCTCTAACGTCCAGACTGCAGACCGCAGCAACATGAACATCTCCCCCCCCCCCACCGCTTCTCCCCCCCAACAGTACGGCGAGCGTTACGGGACAAAATGTCTTCCACCACGTCCGCATCACCTACCTTCTCAAGTGATGAGGTTTGTTTACATAGATAATTTTACAGATAGTGTTTCATTAGTCTGTGTAGGGTATAGATTTCATGTAGACTTAAGATAATAAATATACCCGTTATTTTTTCTACATCGTTGTTACGTTTTGGCGATCTCGCAATCGCTAGCTTGTTGGCTCTGCGCTGCCGTAGCGCAAAGATGTCTGCCTCCATGGCTGCGAGACCCGCTCCTATGTAATTATAAATAACGAATTCTAAGGCAACGCAAATATTAAGGTTAAGAGGCTGAGCTCGTAGATGATGATAAATAACATAGTTATGTATAATATATTACATTTCTGACTGTATATCCCTGTAATTATTACACACTGTAGCTTTAATAAAAGATAAATATTTTATTTGAAGCCCAAAGATAACCTACAGTAGTTTCCTTCATAGGTCTCAGAAACTGTCGCAAGTAACCAAAATCCTAGTTTTAAAACTTCCAATACGGCTTGTCTTTCAATAACCGTTAGTTCAATTTTCATTACAGGTGTCAGGTTTGGTCCCACTGACTCATATAAAATGATTTCAGAGATATAAGGGCTGTCTAAAATCCAGTTTTACAGTTTTTTGCCTGCAGTTACCCAGAGGGCTTAAAAGAAAATACCTCTTTTCACGGAAATTGGTGCTACTACTGTAATTACCCTGCTTGTTCACAAGAACTTATTTACAAATATCGAGATAAAAAATAGCAAATTGTTCTTATCAAACCTAAAAAGAAATAGAATGAATAAAATAGACTACAGCTTTTCATTGTTAGTGGCAAATGAGAGTATAGTTAGAATTTAGTGCTACCTTCTGAATCAGCCCTTAAAAGCCATTTAAGTTATTTTAATTGAAAATAGGCTCTTATTTTACCATCTGTAGCTTCATATAACATGATTAAAACATAATGTTGATCTTCTACTCTAAGAGATGATGATTTAAGTTGAGATTCACAAACTTTTCATTCTATTCTTAAAAAGCACAAAAAAGTGCCTCTTTCATAACATTTTGGTAGAGGCGCTACTACTAGAGTAAAAAATATAAATATAAGGTAAACCAAGGTTAAAATAAATAAGAGCTCAGATGTTATTCATTAAGAAAATTTCTTTATCTTTTAAACAGGTCATGATTTTCTCACAGATGTTTGTTTTCATTTTACTTTTTTTATCAGGTTGTGCATTTTTCTTTCTTTTTTTTCCTTTTTTTTTTTAAAAAAGAAAATACTTTGAGATCAAATTAAATCTGAAAAAACAAAACAAAACCCCTAAAAAAGGATGTAGCCAAGATGGTTCTACAGATATTCATTTTTTCCTTTTTGAAAGTGTTGATTAGAGTTTTTGAAAAATAGACAAACAGTGGCTTCAGGAAAAAGATCTTTCTGGTCGCTTTTTCTGAAGCAATATAGTGAAAACTTCAAAGCTTTTCTTAATTCTTAATAGCCTTGTTTCCTGTTAAATATAAATAAAAGGATTGAATTTGCAATAATTATAGCTACAACTCCGCCAGAAACTCACATTTAAATGTTTACTAACAACATGCATAGGCCGGGGTCTATACAAATTGTGGGTGGATAAAAGAAGAGATGAGAGAAGGAGACAAGGGAGTTTGTGAGTCAGGATATGGCTGATTTATACCTCCGACAGGCAAGGTCACAGCAGAGACGTCAGAAAAAGGGACAAGACACTCCCCTGGCGAGGGCCGAGGGGCTACCAAATACAGGGTCCTGCTCTCACACTGGGGCTCAAAGTACACAAATAAAATTTGGATCTTATTAAAACAAGCTTTAAAGCTTTGTTCTCTTGATAAACAGGATAAAATTGATGTCAACTCTGAGTCAAGCTTCATATTTAGATCTGTATTTATTTATGATAATATTGTACATTCACAGCAAAATTGGCTTTAACTACAGGAAATAAAGTTTCTAATCTGCAATCAAAATGTAATTCACAAAAAAACAATTCAATCTAAATTAGATGTTAATTTTATAATAGCTTTTTTTTTTTTTACATAAAAAAGATTAATATCATGTTTTAATTGTCGTGGGTCACTATTCGCATTGTGATGAGTGGGGAAAAAAGCAAAATGCAGTTAAAGCTGTTAAATATAAACCTGTATTGTGCTAATGAGTAAAGTCTGCATATGAAAAAATAATTTTCTTCATACCACAATTTATTTTTTTTTCATTAAAAACGTATCTACAGTGGTGGAATAATATTAAAAATAAATTAATATTTGGCGATTCTTTTAATGTTCATAAATATTTAATAAGTTATTGTGGTGTGATCTATTGTAAAAGAATAACTTTTTTGTGTACTATAAATATGTTAAATTATAAAATATTTAATTTCCTAAAATATGCAATATAAGACGCAATTTAAACAAACTGTAAAGTTTCATGGTAAGATTTCTACTGCTTTAATTGTCAGCTCAAAGGGTAATTATTGTATTGCTTTAAACTTTTTCATGTGACTAGATGACTGAATTTTATATACTGATGTGTTTGAAAGATTTAAATTTTTCCTAAAAGCCTAAAATAAAAGCAAAATAAATCCAAACAATTCTATTTCCACCCCTGGATGTTTTCTGGTTTGTTTCCGAGAGATTAAATGAGAGGAAAATCTAACTGCAGAGGAAGGCCTTGGTGTTTTCCACAGACTGAAACAGTGTAACCCTGAAGTACTCAGACATGCACGTACCCATTGTGTTCGGCTGGGTTAGAGCGTCTTCGTGCTTGAAGGAGTGGCCGGAGAACTGCGAGCTGTGGTGCGTAGGAGTGTGCCCGTAATTACCGGCTCCATCGAACGCCACCGTGCTGTAACCTACAGCAGAGAAAAGGCAGAGAGCACACACATCAGCACACCATTTTCTAAATACTGTAACCAGTGGAAAAGCTCAACAAAATGACGGTGTTTTTGGACTTGAGCATATTTGTGAGCCTACAGAGTTTTACATGTGAAAATTTATTTATTGACATCATTTGATGCATTTTTATGCCTTTAAGTTTGCCAAGTCACCCAATTTCTGCAAGAAGTCTGCAACTTTTCTCACTTTAAATTATTTAATTATAATGTGTTTAGCTTCTATGCATCTTTGTGCATTTATAAAGTTGAGTTTTACCTAAAATAAAAGTAAACAGTTAAATGCACCTACATAATATGGTTCCTGGCATTAAGAAGATCCACGCTTGACACCCTGGACCAGCCTCTGACTCATGACTCTAGCTGACCCCTAAAGGGCACCACCAGCTGCCATAAATCACTCCTGTGCACCGACACACAGATACAAACACACTATCTCTCCCATGCTTCATTAATTAAAAATGCAGCACTTTCACCGACTTTCACTCTCTGAGTCAGTGGGTGAGCGCAGCAAGAAAAGGAAGAATCCTCATTAAACGCTTCCATTTATCATCCACTCACCCCTGACTTTTCTGTCTGTGTGTATCATCTGTCTGCGCATGTAGTATGATACTTTTTGTTGCCTCCTTGAAGTGCAGCACTGAGGTGAGAAGCTATGAGTTCAGTTTGTATTCAACTGGAAAACCTAAAGACTGGAAAACCCCGGTGGAATGCCCCAGTAGGATAATAGGCCTTAAATTAAGATTTCAAACCTTTTGTGCAGCTTTTGTCGTCACTTTTCTCTCTTTACTGCAGATAGAGACAGTTTTATGTTTAATATGCATTTCTTCTGTGCATATGTACCAAATTTCTGCCCCAAAGAAACTTTTTTATAGAACATTTACATTTGGGAAGTACATGTGAATGTGAAGGATTCCCGATGTGACCTCTCAATGATATGAGCTCCGCTGTGTGACCCGGGTCCTGCTGTTGGTTGGTTTGTTTGCATGCGCTCAACCAGCCACAGCAGGGTGCAGATAAAACAGGTTAGGGGGTCGGCCCGGCTCTTTGATAATAATGTTATTCCTGAATTATCTGCTCGAAAGCATGTTATTACTAATTAATTTGACGACTATCACTAATAGATTAATTATCGAGCAGCTTAGAACAGCTGGAGAAATACGTTTCTGGATGCATTAAGAGAAAGTCTCTTCAAATGTTTGAGATCTAAATGTTTTTATTAAAACTGAAGGCAGGGTTGATCTATAACTAACTGAATATGTGTGCCATCTATCTAGAAGAATCAGATTTTATAAAATCCTTAAAACAGATATTTTTCCTAAATTTTGTGCCTTTTTTGTGGTACTGCTTGCTGTTGGAGACACATATGGATAAAGTGTAATTTGTGAGAAATGCCAGTCTCTAATAATGGAAATGATAAATTAGGAATCCTTCAGCAGATCATTAGCGCACAAAGGAGTCTGAAAAATAAGAGAAATTAATCCTGGCTTTTTTTTAAATTAAAAAACTCTTCATTTGAAAATCCATTCTTTGATTTTAGATTTGTAATTTGGGTACAGAAATGTTGTTAACGCCTTGAGTCGTTTAACATTTTCCATGTATGCATAAGTCAAGAAGAGGCAAGAGCAGTATGGCCAACTTATTATTCATAATTTTTTCCCCCTGCTTTATTTCTTCTTTTCAATTACGAAGACAAACAGAAATACTGATATAAATCAATTTCAGCTTTTATTGACCAAAAGTCAAACTATCTTCGGCACAAGATAAATTAAAGTACATATTTAACAGCTAACAACAGGTTGGCTCTACCACACGCCATCAAGCCTACGTGATGTACCATTGCTTTTTACATAAACTTTTTTTAATGTGCAAAGATTTACGCTTCAATATTTCAAAATAAAACACAAGCGGCAGGATACTGTATATCTCTATATATTGTCACTAATATCCTTTTCTTTATTTTAATGTATCTCACTCCCATCAAAATAATATGATCAACCAATATGTGAAAAATACACGAATAAATAAATGAAAATAAATCTTCAGTTCTATTCTAAAAGTTTAAGGTTATAATATTAAAATGAGAAATCATGCGTCTGGGGGATGGAGTATGAGTGTTTAATTTTTTTTAAATAAAAAGCCATCCATAAAGGAGAAAAAAAATCCCCACCCCAAATTTAGAAGGATATTACTCACGACTTCTCAAATGTGATTTAATCAAATTATAAACCAAAAATTAATAATAGTGGGAAATTTAAGGAACCATTAACCCCATAACATTTGTTACATGATCCTTAATATAGTTTCCTCTGGTAAAAATAAAATTTAAAACCCAGATAATTTTTTTTAAATAAGGAAAATCCTTTGTGGTGTGGGGATAAAAATGCTGATTCAAGTTTTTAAAACAAATGCTACTCACTCTTGCCTTAAAACTTTGTAAGCAGAGCTAAGAGGACCTAACATACCGTCTCTAAATAATTCATTTTTTGTGTCTACAAGCAGATGCAACACAACATACTGTAACTACATTCATGTAAAATGTTCACTTGTGGCTAAAAACTCACAGGGAAAAAGCTTTCTGCAATCTGCAAACAGACTCTTTAGGGTCAAACATTAACACCAAGTGGTTCCTCAGTTAATCATGCTTTGATCAACCGTGCTTCCCTGGAAATGAAACATTTTCACTGATTTTCTCCATAATTAACTGATTTTTTTTCTTTCGGACTGGATTTCTAGATAATTATTATGTATTAGGAAGTAGTGAACTTCGACATCCAGGATCTAAAGGCAACATCCACCATTAGCCAATCAAAATAACTTTATATCATGTAGGAGGCATCTTTAATAAGGAAAAACAAATCTACATGATTCATTAGAGCTTTTTTAACGTTTATGTAAATACATCAGAGTAAAGTCCCACTTGTAAATACTGAAACTTCATCAGATGATACTGTATATGAAATAAAAAGTGAATCTAAAATGGGGCAGATGTTTGAACTGCAGCCCTACTGTACCTGTCTGGTTTCGGGCTGCCGGCTGGGTGTCCATACAGCTACTCAGGTACGATGGGTTGCTGAACATCCTGCTGGGGGGCTGGTGGTGGTGAGGCGCTGCCACAGGCGCAGGCTGGTTGGGTGCCGTTGGAGCAGGAGGAGGGGGGGCCCCGAACGCTGCCCCGTACCTGCAGGCCCCCGTGCCCGTGAACTGACCCGAGAAATGCACTGTGAAAGCGCTGAGGCCGCAATGGGGGTCTGTGTCGTGGTGGTGTGGGTCCCCTGTGGCTCCCCAGCTGGGCTCCTGTTTGATGAAGGAGTGGGGCCCCAGAGAGGAATGGGGAGCAGCCAGTGAGGGGTAAGGGGAGGCAGCGGTGTGGAAGTCCAGGACAGGAGCCCACTGAGGGGCCGTGCTGACGGGCAGCGCTGTGCAGCTGGGGCTGGGGCCTGGAGGGACCGAGGGCAGGAGGGAGTTCAGGTCACGAACCTCGGAACCCATGGTGGTCCAGGGACGAAAGCTTGGAAAACTGGAGGCAATTTTTAAGTCAGTCCTGTCTCCTTTCACAAGGCACCTTTCGAATCCCCCAGAGACTAAAAACGCTCTTTCTAAGCTCTGAGTCCTCCAGACAGCGACTCTGGAAGCTCCTCAAGTCCAACTAAAGTTCATGTCAAACTCACTGCGGTTCAGCTTCCCCAATTAGGAGATACAGCAATCAGGTCAGACTTTCAGTTTCCATCCAGATCTATGAGCAAAAACAGAGTTTCACGACTCTGAGGGTCCATCCAAGGAGGAGAGGGGTCTCGGCTCACAGGCTTCCCTATGAATGAAGAAAGAAGAGTGGAGGAGTGAGGAGGAGTAGACCTCTTTTTCCTCCACTGTTCGCCTGAGGATTTGTGTGTGAGGAGGGTGGAGGAGGTGGAGTCAGGAGGTGATGTGGGACAGAAACCTCTGACTTCATTCATCTACTCTCCACTCACACCTTCAAACACACAGAGGCGAACAAATGCATTTATAAAAACAGATATTTCAACCAATTTCAAATTTGAATCTTATTATTACTAAAAGCTGTGGGTCTTGATCAAGTCATCAAAACTACATATTTCCCTGTACATTTCCTTGGACATGAATACTGTTAATAATCATACTATTAATAAAAAATAAAACTCATAAAGATGTTGCAATAAATGATTCCTAAAAAATATCAGTGTTTGAAACATATCCAGGTGGATACCATCTGCAGAGACACTGAGGCCCCAAACCGCCCCTAATAAATCAACAAATAAAATTCACAATTAAAACGAATGCTGAAACATAGAATTGAAATTTTAAATTAGTATTCAAAAATTTCACGGTAATAAAAGAAGGGTGTAACGGTTTAATGAACCCGCTGGGAGATGAATCTTTGGGTTCCGCATGAGGGGCCCCGCATCATAATAAATATCCCGCTTTTACCTTCAGGCCTCTAGATTATTACCTTTTCTGGACTCTTATTTTAATTTATCTATAATAGATAAAAATCTGAGTTAATAGGCTATATCTTTTAAGAACCCTGTTATAAAATGCTTAACTGAATGAAATTAGATTATTAAAAGCAGATAGAAAGGTTAAAATACAGGCAGTGAACATACTTAAATTAGTAATAATAACAAAATAAAGAATGATCGAAATATTATAACATTTCAACAATCTGTTTAAAATTTCTTTCAGCTTAAAGGTGGAGAAAATTACTTAATCGCATTTCAAAGCGTTTAACCTCATGATCATCGGCGTCGCCAGACCCCATTTACTGGGGCACGTGCCCCAGTATAAATGAGCTGTGCCCCAGTATAAATCTCATGAATATTTGCAACAGTATTACATTTTTTTAATGCATCAATTTAGATATTTCCAACGGAAGGAGACGTATATTTCTACTCAAATGCGCAGCAAGTGTGTTGGTAACTCCAAATTGAGGATGTATTAGCGCCCCGACGTCAGCGCATGTCACTGCATGAACTGCAGGTAAATTAACACGCTGCTCTCAACTGAGTTGGATGGGACACTGTGCGGCCACGACGCATTTTTTAGTTTAGTTTCTTACCTGTCAATTTTATTATTTTCCCAGTGAAACCACATGATTTATAGGCTACTAACTGAAAATTACTGCATTGGTTTGTAGATGGATATCAGGAAATTCCTCACACGAAGCAGAGACAGGGAAGCAGTAAAACAAGATGAGAGAGAGAGAGGTAAGGTCCCGTAATGAATTAGTGATTTAATGTAACCAGTTACATTAGGAACGTTATAAGTAATATGATAGATATTTACATAATTATAAATTTGCGTTTTTTTTATGTTTGCTGTAGAGAATGAGAATGCAGGTGCTGGAGTAGGAAAGGGAGGAGGAGGCGAGACTGACAGGCAAGAGACAGGTGAAAGACAGGAGAGACAGGACCATGAAGGTGATGAGGATGCAACAACCAGCTTCCACAAACAAGAAGGGGACATTAGTGACTTAGGGGGAAAGCATGATGGTCCTAAACAAGTGAAGTTGTCCCACAATCCCCAGCACAAATTTGGAGTAAAAAAAACGTTAATTTAATTCAAAATGGTTTGAGCTTTTCCTGGTTAAAAAAGAAAGCCTTGTCATCAAGGATATGCAGTGTGTTTTCAACTTGCTTGATAACATCATGTTCCCCACACTAACGCAGGTCATCCAGATCTCCCTCACAATCCCAGTCTACAGCTGGAGTTGTGAAAGGTCATTCAGTGTGTTGAGAAGGATTCACACTTGGCCGAGGTGCTCAATGGGACAAGACAGGCTCCATCATCTTGCTATTTTATCAGTTGAAAAGGAAGAACTTTCTAAGCTGAGTCACAAGTGATTGACCACTTTGCAAAAATGATAAATAGGAGGTACACTTTAATGCTCAAAAAATAAAAGGAAAACTTAGCTCAGGATGAGTTAAAATGTCCCCCGAACTAAAACTCTGTAACCTAGGAATTAATGATTACTTCAGAATGTGTATAAGGAAACTTTTTATATGTCAAAGTTGTTGATGTCTTATTTTTTATAGCTGCAATGTTGAAAATGTTCATGTTTGTTAAAACAAATATGCTCTTATACTCATTATTATCTCAACTGGTAATTTTGGTAGGAATGTATCAGGGTTGGGCAGTGTGCTTGTCTGTATTTATGTATAGAAGGAGGGGCGTATGCACTAGGGGGCCGGTGCCCCAGTAAAGCTTTGTGCCTAGCAACGCCCCTGCTCATGATCACGAAAATATCTTCCTGTAGATAATTTATACTTTTTTTTTTAGTTCACTGGAAAAAAAAAAATCTAAATAAATCTTTTTTTTTTTCTTAAAATAAATGCATTTGTCCTCGGATTGAGGAGATAAAATAGACACCTTACCAATGAAGAAAAAAAGACAATTTACATTTAAAATAAAAAAACACAATTACATCACCTTATTTCAAGTGCATTTCATCTAAATATCTTATTTTAAGAAAAAAAAATAATACTTATTCCACTGACAACTATCTCATTTACCTGCTCGAAATAAGGGTAAATACACTTAATTAAAGCGATTTGTACTTATTTCTAGATAGTTTTTCCAGCGTTGATATTTGTGTGGCGGCAGACGCAGAAAGGGGCCGTTAAACAGTGAGACTGATGCTTGTGGCTGTGAGGGAGGATAACGGTCCGCTTCATGCAAATATTCACAAGTTTTCTCCGCCTGCAGCGCGCAGAAGAAACAGCCGGCCGCTAAATCTACTCTTTCTTTATTAGTTTTATCTAAAAACACGAACCACGTGTCGCGATAAAATTATAACGGACCCTTTAACGAGAAAAACTCGCCAAACAGACCAAGTAAAAAAAAAAAAAATCCGTTTTTCTCCCCCTTTGAATCTTCTTCACATAAACAGTATGGAGATGCAGCTTTTGCTGCAGCGCAACGTTTTGTGACCTGCAGGATAATTTAGGATGACCTGAGGGAGGAGGAGGAGGAAAATATGATGAAGAGAAGCAGCGTCCTCACTCTGCAAAGGAAACATCGCCTGTGAACTCTCTATTTTTACATCTTTTCAAAGAGGACTGTTTTTTTTATATTTTTATTTAAACGCCTTAGTCGCTGGGTTATGCCCCAGATTTTATTACTGGGTGAATTTCTGCAGAATCAAGTTAGCCTAAATGAAATCCATCAGACCTATATTTTTTTTGGTGTGTACTCACACCTATTACTTTTGGCCTGTATATCTACCCGTTGAATTTTCAAATTCTCAATGCTTTTATTTATTATTCTATTTTTTTTTCATGTTTGTGACAGCCCAACACAAAGCTGCACATAAAAGAAGGTTTGCTGAAAATCAAAATCTGAGTGCTTTGGTTTTGCGTTCAGCTTTCTTCACTCAAAAAAGATTATGCAACCGCTTTTGGCATTTGCTTAATCATATTTATTTAGTTTATCACAATTGTTTTATGTCCTACCCTGCTAACATGAGAGAATTGTGTTAAAGTAACTAAATATGATGAAGTAAATGCCAAAAACGGTCACATTATTTTTTTTCAGTGTTGAGTAAGAACCACCTTTCTCTGCACCTGCTGTAGTGTCTCCACCAGCTTTTCGCAAATAGAGGTTAAAACATTTGTCCCTGAAGAACCAGAGAGGTTCTGAGAAGACCAAAGGCGGTTCTAGACAGGGGCCAACAGGGGCCAGTGCCCCTGTAGATCATGACCTGGCCCCTGTACTGAAGACATAATACTCAAAGAAATTCTAATGATGATCTGCACTGGAACAGACATGGTTACTGATAGGTCCTTTGGATCCATTTCAGTTTTTTTCTTTACAAATTCTGTTTTACTAATTATTTAAAAACAATAAGGGGATAGCTTCAGTGGTATTGAGATAGGATCCCAGTTTTAATCTGCTAAAGTTATTTTTCAGTGCAAAAAAAAAAAATACTCAGCTGAATTTATCCGTTTTTCTTGAGTTCTAATTCAGATTTTATAGAAAACGGTATTTTTAACTTAAATTATGTCAAAATATGTAAAATTCCTAAATTATGAATGTATATTGACCTAATAAGAAATAGAATTTTAATTAAACCTAACTAAATAGAATTTTCACTTCATACAGTTACTAATATATTTGAATCCCTTGCCCTGTTTTTTTATTACATATATTTCTGTGCCCCCATGAAAACACGAAGGCCCCCTCCTGGCCCCCTGGTACATTTGGTCTAGAACCGCCACTGGAGAAGACCATCATTGTTTATGTCTTACCAGAGATTTCATTCACTGAGCATTTCTAACACATGATCATATCGTGATCATGTGATTATATTGAAATATCTGTGCTGTCTAATAGTTTTTCCTCCAGGATTATAGTGCTTTTATAAACGGTTTGTCAAATATTTGGTTTTATGGCAAACTTTAAACAGGGCAGCTTTTTTTTCTTTATGATGAGGTTTTCTTCCATAAAGGTCAAATATGTGGCATGCTCCACTATTCTTCTATCAGAGCTATGCAGGGTCCTCAAAGTTAACATGAGTTAACAGAGTTAACATGAAGTTCTGCTCTAAATAACGCTCTTCGGCTCATCAGTAGGCTTTTCATGTCTTGGTATGTTTCCATTTCAGCCATCCTCTTTCCATTTCCAGGTGATTGATTGAAAGGAGCTTTGTGAGGTGCCCAAAGTTTGGGATGATGTTTTTATAACCTAACCCTGATTTAAACTTCTCTACAACTTTCTCCCTGACCCTTCTGCTGTGTTTCTTGGTCTTTGTGATGCAAATTGTTCACTTAACTTCTCAATGAGGCCCTATAAAGAACAGCTTACATTAAATCACACACCCCACTCTTACTGAACTCTAGGAGTATCAGAATATGAGGTATT